GGGGCAATGATGAAATAGGGCTTGGCCCAAGATGGAAAATGATTTTACTTAAAACATTGCCCAATAACTCAAAAGAAAGGTAGCCCAAAACCCGGCCCAAAAGGAGCTGCCAAGTGTGTCATTCTGGACCCTAGATCTATTGCCTAATTTATGGTGTGATGGTGGATTATAAAGGAGAGCTGGACGGTCATTCTGATGGCGTGAATTCATTCTGTTCTTTGGGCTTAGTGATAGAAATATTTGGCTTAGTGTGAGAAATATTTCTGGGCAGTCTGTTTCGTTCCTTTTTCTCTTTTGCCTTTGATTCTTTGTGTAATCGATAAAACTCTTTGATTAATCATTTGCCTTGGTGGTGTAGTATCTATGTGATTCTTCGATTGAGTCTTGAGAGGGCATAGTTAGGCTGTCGAGGTCTTGGTTCATTGATGTGACTGCTTTGTGCAATCCTTGTTAGGGTTTGTGTTTTGTTGGCTTGTTCTTTGTGAACAGACGTGTACAATGTATTCTTGGTGAATTTTGAGCCCCAATCAATAATAGATTTACTTTGTGTAAATTGTTCTCGATGTTCTTGGTGAATATGGTTGTCTGCTTCCGCGTGATATTGAGGGCGATTCCCTTACAGTTACTATACATGCACTTAGATGTGAACTTGGACTGACCGTTACTCGAACTTAAATATCCCATAGCGTTTATTTATAGCGCAGCTCTCGTTGTTGACACTAAGTTGTATGATCCTCTTTTCATCCGTGTTTTGGTATGAAATTTAGGAGGAGAATTTTTGCCAATGCGCTTCTTGTGTAATGCATAAAGGATTATATTCGTGAGTTTTTTGTATATCATTCGTTCCAAAAGTATGTCAGCCGCCGGCCTCGGCCTCGAGCCTCATATGGAACGACATGTTTAATATGTTGAATTATAAATGACACGATACGTATCGTTTTTCCTTGACTTGGTTCAATATAAAAATTTTGTCTGGATTGCTGAATTGGTCAGCTAATTGTTTCTAAGATGAAGAATTCCATACAGTGCCAGCAATAGCCGGCCGATAGTAGTTGTCGAACACAAAGGCCCCGGCAGATAGTAAAGGCCGGCAATTGAGGGGAAAGGGGGGTAAAAGAACGAAAAATCCAAGCAAAGCCTTGGTTTAGTACAACATTGTACAATACCTGGTCCCTATATGTTTTTTTACATATAATTTCTTACAGGCACGGACATAAAGTTAATTACAAAAGCAATGACAAATTAAGAAATTTTCATTATTTCAGTCGAGATCGATGTCTACATACATTTATTGTCACTATACTCTTTACCTTTATTTACCGAAAACAGATTCTTGTTTACCAACTACAGATTTTCTAATCAAATCAATTTTTTTCTCGACACGTTCTTTAAAAATTCGATTCGTGCCGAATACATTACAGAATTTCGCTTTAGCCAATGATTCAATTAGAGGAATAAATGGAATGATACAAACAAAAGTAATTTAAATCACTAAGATATACGAAGTCACGAGAAAACTCGATGTACCGGGATAAATGATCTTGAACATGGGCTCGTAAAAAATTTGAAATTTCCTTGTAGGACCATAGCTGTAGAATTAAAATTATTGATAAGGATTCAAATTTTCAAAAGTGTCACATCTATAGGTCCCAATTTACAATTGCAAGAACCTAATCATGTGTCTATCCTTTACTTGTACATCATAATTTATTCGCATCCTATTTCTTGACCATATCAACAATTTCAACCGCACCCAGCCCTTTCTCTCTGCAACCCTCCCCTCCCTCCACCCCAACCCAAAGAACTCTACTATGCTGGACTCTTTATCAACATGCTTGAATTCTCAGCATAAGAGGGCAAGAAAATTTATTACAAAACTGAAATTCACTAGTTGGAAGAGAAAGAAGCCTAAAAGACTTGTTTCTGATCTAAGCTGGTTAACTTCATCATTCGCAGCCATGGAGTTGTCTAACCAATTGAAACAAGTCTTCAAATTCATCGACACAAACGGGGACGGGAAACTGTCTAGTTTCGAGCTAGAAGACGTGCTGCTCAACCTCGGAAATGACAAGAAAATCGCCAACAAAGAAGCCGAAGGAATGGTAAGAGAGATGGATAGTAATGGAGATGGTTTTGTTGATTTACAAGAATTCTTGAATGCCATGGAACTTGATAATGATGCTATTGGGATTGATATAATGGGAGCTTTTAGTGTATTTGACGCTGATAAAAATGGATTAATTTCTGCTGAAGATTTGCAGAGGGTTTTTAAATGTCTTGGATGTGGAAAATGCAGTCTTAGAGACTGTCATTCAATGATCAAAGGGGTAGATAAAGATGGCGATGGATTTGTAAATTTTGAAGATTTTAAGTTAATGATGAGTGCAGGATGCAAGGTTTAGTAGAGATTTCTTGCATTTTCTAAATTATTGGTTTTAATATTAGAAAATTCAAAAAATTTAGAAAAATATTTGTGTAGTTATTTGTCAATTTTTTTTATAATAAATTGTCAAGAAAACAGCCGAGACTGCATAATAATAGGGATTTGCTACAAGTACAGGGACTGTGCCGTGTTACACACATGAGAGGCACATTTTTTTTTTAATACAGTGGGGTGGGGCCCACCACTACAGTGATGGGCCTATAAAGCTCCTGTGAAAAAAACTGCCCAGTATGCAAGGCTTAATCCGCATACCAATGCATAAAATCGAAAGACTAAATGAGAGAGAGAGAGAGAGAGAGAGCAAATTTAGAGGATTGATTGACTAGTTATGAAAATCGCCATTTGAATAAAGGGTCGATTATGATGTTAACACAGAGTCACATATCACACTCTCGTTCAAGCAGCTAGTTTACTAAGATATTGTGCTGAAGCCCTTTTATGACTCTATTGACCCCTCTTTTCATGACTCAATACATGCTAGTATCGTAGAAATAGAAATTTGTTTTGAATCTCAAACAAAGTTTTAGGAATATTAATTTGTAGGGATATATGATGTTATTCGTAATAAATTATTACGAATGTCATTGCTACATTATAATAATAAAAAAATTTAATAGAAAACGAATACATAAATTTATGTGATTTGACAAAATCGTCTTGAGGAAGAATCAGTTCACTAGTCAGTATTTTCAACTTTAATTTTTTTGACTAAACAATAATTACTGATTAAAAAATAACAAAACTAATTAAATTCCTACCAAACTCTTCAATTATTTTTTCTCAATACATAGTGGAGAAATTTTTTTTATCCAAACTCGACTTTATATGATATCAAATTATAAATGCTTCAATTGGGCAAAATTGATAAATTTAATCACGTATCCCTCTTTAACCTTGGATATTTACAAAGCATGATCATGCGAAGCACGAAAACTGTCTTGTCTCCATCACTTCTGCCAAAACTATGGTCACGAGAATTGTTGGAATGTGCCAAGTGACAATGTTTCTCTATCAAACCAACAAAACAAACAACTTTTTTGTTGGGCCACCGAAAATTCCATGACAAGAACCTAGTAACAATCAACGATAGGAAAATAATTTCCATATTTTTGTTGATGACTTAATTTAAATAAATAAATAATTGTAATCCTATTTGTTTAAAAGTTTAAACTTCTTAAAATAATTCGTTATGACATTAAAGTAGGCAAAAGATTTGAGTACGAGTCTCACATTGACCAATGTATAAAAATTTTCGTATTTAACAAAATAATTCTAAAAAGGGTATTATGTTCGCTATTGGTGGTGAAGAGGCTGATCTCAAGTAGATGTTGATCGATTACTTCAAATTTCAACATTGACTCATGAAGGTGAAATCTACCTCCCGATTTGCTATCGATGATTTGGTATCTAGTCTAGTAGGTGAGTCTCAAAAGTCCTCCTCCCCTGAGCCTAGCATCTTGAGTCCTAGATCTCTTTAGACAAGGTTCGGACACAAATTCAAAGTGACATGACGGTATGTGCTTACGAATCTGCTTACGTCGCCGTCGCCGTCACCTTTCCAAGTGCCATTCGGAGGGGCTCCTTCCCTGGACGTGAGCCCTCCTCTCTGCTAGTGATTCCGAGTACATCGATTATTATGATTATGACCAAGACACGTATTGCACTAGACGTACAAAGACGTGATCTATGACGACTAGATCAGGGATGAGCCCTCATGAGTTTCATTGTTTACTTCTTATGTTTCACTGTACTTCTAGTCTCCGAATGGGATTCTTTACTCTTCTTTTTTTGGATTTTGGTATATATCCTTCTCCCAATTGTAACTATCTTTTTTCCTTGTTATATTAAAAAAATACTCATGTAATATGGTTTGAAAAACAAAAAACTCTGATTTACATGTGATGGAATGCCAAAGACACAATTTAAATAAATAAATAAACCCAAGTTTTAATTGTTGAAGTCAAGAAAAATGAAAGTACACGAGATGATTAGATTTTTGGACAATGTGACAATGATCTCACTATCACAAAGACCAATGATCATCTAGAATTTAGATGAATAACATTATCCTTAAGCATATATCTCAGTTGTGATGGATTTCTTAGTTCTATATCGTTGAGCATTGGATTAAGCTGTAGAAAACATCCATGGATTAAACCTTCAAATAGTAAGCAATTTATTCCGGTCTCTATTAGTGTGTTCTTTATACTACTTGTAATCTGGAAAGCATACAAGGCCTTTCTTGGGCTTTCTTTTTATTTTGCTAAATTCATTTTTCAAAGTAATGAGTGATTGATAAGTGGGTATACTTGTGAGTCATACGAGATATGCTATTAAAATTAATGTTTGACTTCGAAAATAGGATTTAAAAGAAATGAGGCAAGAAATTACCCCTTAACTCCAACCCAAACAAAACATGTATTAGGTATAGGTCAAAAGATGAGCTTTGCTACTTGTACATTCCAAATGATAGAAAGTTTGACAGAAGAATTGTTTTTCATTTGTTTTTTCTTCTGTCAAGCTTTCTGTTAATTGGGATGTACAAATAGCAAAACTCGTAAAAGATATTTGCTAACTAGACAACTCATAATATTGAAGTTTTATGTTAGTCATTGCACTTTTTTGGTTTATAAAAAGTCATAGGAATTTACTTTTCTTTTAGTTAAATCACTCAGATAGTAATATTTTGAACTTTTCTACACAATAGATGGTGTGAAAGACCTCCGCATAGATGTCATGTCAAGTTTTGACATCTTCGACATCAGATATTCCCTGAGAAAAATTAATGAACTTTAACTGGCCTATCAAATAGAAGTGATCACTTTGAAACAAAATAAAGTTCAATAACTAACACGAAAAAGCACGTGATTTGGAAACAAATGGATGATTATTGATGATAATACCTTGTAATGTATTTTGCTCTCATATTGAATATCCTTCTTGGCCCCATTTGCCGTCACAGCTCCACCATTTCCTTTTTTTAACCACTTGTTTCACGCGGGTAGTCGCTAACAATTAAAAAAGATTCAGACGATTGTGTAAAGAACAAACCTTTTGAGACGAAGTCTCAAAAATTGGTGTTTTATTGGCGATGATTTACAATTGGAAGTAAACAGAATGCTTGCAAGGAGCGCAATCACAGGAGTACTAAAAGAAGTGTTTAAATTTAAACTAAGAAATTAAAATTACATATTCTCTGTTTGAGAGTGTTTGATTCAGATTTTTTTCTCTATATCTTCTCTTCCTTTTTATATTCCCTTGATGATTTTTTTGTGACAAACCGCTTGAAAACTGCTTGATTGCTCTACAACTACCCACTTTCTTCATAGTGGCTAACTTGTAGTGGAACTACCGTATCTAACTGCTGCCAATACTTTTTGTCGTTCAACCGCCTTCAATTGGGTTCCTTGAATCTTGGAATGTGATAAAATTGTCCAATAACTGTTATTCTAGATAACCATAATATCTTTTGTTTGTTAAGATCTTGGGCGATTCGAAGGTTTGGACGAGAACGAGATCATCGCTCTGGGCGACCGTAAGACACTCCATTCCCTCAAATTCTGGGCATATTGCAAGCTTGGAAGATGATGTTACTGTATTCGTGAGCTTCCACTGCATTCATCAATAATCCTATTTGAGCCTTTATCCTGGATTTCCCAATTGGACTTCACTCTTTGGACTATTTAATTTGGATTGCACTTTTAGTGTGTCAACAATTACCCCCCAATATGGCAGAATTAATACCAAGTATTAATCTTTGCCATATTCACTTTGTATTTTCCAGCAACATTTGAAATTTCTAAGAATTTCAATCATTGTTTCCTTCTATAGTCTAAAAATGTGCAACGCTACAAACCCTTATAAACCCAAAAGACACGCCATTTCATCGCACCACTAAACCACGTCTCTATATTTTGCGCTTCCTCCTCACTATTTTACTGTTCATCTTCTTGCTTCTCTGCTAAGTTTCTTAGGCAAATCTTAGCAAAACTGTATTTTGCACTCAATGGCGATTTCACAAACTCAATCTGATGATTCTTTCAGTTTTGAAGATTTTCAGAAAATCCTTGCTAGGCCGTATGTAAATCCAAACTTCCTTGCACAAGCCAATACCGGCCGTAATGAATTCTATTTGGGTCCATCATTTAATAATGTCTAAGTCGTTGAACAAGTGGCGGTGGGCCAACAGTTCCCTTGCACTGAAGACCCTCTATTTCTGAACTCCCTGCCATTGTAGCCAATCCGCAATAAAGTATTCGTACTTGGCCAAAAACTGATCCTAGTTTTCGTAGATGGCATGCACGTATGGTAAATCATGATCCCACCAAAGCAATTTTTGGTCGTGCTAAGATTTTGGACCTATTAGAAATTACCATTTTTCTCCCAACTTATGACCTAGTGCTTTTCCCAATCGCCCTGAGTTTCTGGTCTTTTGAGTATAACACTTTTATTTTTCCTCTTGGCCCAATGTCCATTACTCTAAGGGATGTTGGAGCCTTAGTAAATCTTTCGCCCTCGGGCGATACTATCTTTCCTGATATTTTGATTTCCAGTATTGCCCCACAATTTGACAAGAAAACTGTCGAATCTTACTCAAGCATGCAAGACCTTCATACTGCTTCCAATTCTGAGCCTACTCATGCTGAGCGTGTTGCCTTCCTTCAGATCTGGCTTTGTAAATATGTTCTTTGTGTCCTCAGTCTGAAACCCTCATTGAGTTATCTGCCTCTATTGTATGAATTAATAAGTGGCAGGTCTTTGAATTTGTGTTCATTCTTTTTAACCGCCTTTTATAGAGGCATGACTTTCCTCCAACTCCAATTAAAGAATGGTGCGTCTCTCACTGGTATTGGGCCTCTTTGTCTTGTTCAATTGTGATTGAGAGCCTATTTTCCACAACTTGGTACTCCACCATCTTCTCCTCGAACAATTAGCTATTATTGGCTATTCATTTATCAA